ATGTTTCCATTAACACAGCTTCACTGGATTTAGTGGTGGATTTAATAAGAACAGGCGCCTCATGGTAGAACTGGAAGAGCTAGATCACAGTTAGTTCCTGCTTCATTGAAACAGAGCAGCCTGACAGGATGTCAGAGGGACATACCCTGTCTGTTAACGATAGTTCATCTCTATTATTACAAATATTCTTCTTATCTTATGTATCTTGTTTTTTATTCAGTAATCTAATCGGTTTGTGTTTTATCTCTAATAGAAGTAGTGATGTGTTAAAATATTTTTTTTGTTTATTCAGTCAGTATTTAATACAGCTTGAAAAATACATTAAAATGTAATGATGGACTATTTTTTTATTATTATTCTTAATAAATATTTAGCCCTTCATGTTAAAAAAAGATAATCTTAATTGAAGAAAAAAATAATCTTGTTTTGAAAAAAACTGCTCCTTATCAATTAACTGCTAGTTGATTGATAAGATTAATTCATTAATCAATAAGTTGCATCTCTATTAAGAAGCCCTGGTCAGTTTGTAGAGACATTAAAATAATTATTTGGTCTGGATCAAAAATAACCGCTGAGACCTTTTGCAGGAGGTGGTCTAGGTACGGTTAGGGTTTAAACATGTGGAATCTGCCTGTTTTGTACACCAAATTTAAAACTGATTTTTTTTTTTACGGAAAATTTAAACAGTGATTTTTTTTTTTTACTCATTAAATTCCTTACACTGAATTTTTATCTGGTTAAAATTCCTCTGCAAAAAATTGGCCTGCCAATGTGTTGACCTGTTGGTATCAGCTTCTAGCAGCCTCTAGCTAGAAGCTAGAAGCTAGCTCATGAGCTAAGCTAACTAAATGAGCTAGCTTAGCTCATTTAGGGAATAAAAGAAAAGAGAAGGAGAAAAAAAAGTTTGCTGCCAGCCGCTTCTTCCGGATCAAACCAAAAGCCTTGCCAGACGGGGGTGCTGCACTAGCTGTGATCAGCTCAGTTATTTCACCCATGGCTGTCTATTAGTAGCTGCCTGAAGTTTGTAATCATATCTATTTATAAAGAAACCTCCTCATTCAGCTGAGAACAAATCTATGTCCAACTGTTGTGTCACATGACCAAATTAGCTCATTTCATTGGCTAAAAGCTGCTCGACTGCATCAAGTGTAGGTTTCTTTGGCTTGAGTTCACCAAAACATCAACAAATTTGCATTCAAAGTTTTTGAAGGCAAATTTTTACCAGATAAAAATTCAGTGTAAGGAATTCAATGTGTCAAAAAATTCAGTGATAAAAATTCGGTGTCCAAAAAAAGGCAGATTCCAATGAGACTGTTTTCCTTCCATATTAATGTGATTGGACCCGTGGAGCCAGATGCCTTCACATCGTTGGGTTGTGTGTTCCAGGATGCAGTAGAGGGAACAAGCTAATGAACATTTAAAAGCCAAATAATGGCGAAATAATGTTCAGAAACCCTCATTTATTTGATAAATGTTCCATGTTTTGAACTCGCTATTCAGTGATTGTGTAACTTTATACAGAGAGAAGCTCTGTATTCACATTATGGCAGGCTACTGTTAGGAGCTAATATTTGAGTAAAAATTAGAAATCGATTATATTTTTAGCGTACCTGTTGATAACTTGTGGGTGATCACTCTACATAACCCCCCAGTATTTTGCATGTTCTGATGTTCTGCATATTCATGGAGGCACACTGGTTTAATGGTTTCTGCCTTGTTGGTGCATCAGCTTTTCCTCCATGATCAACTTTGCATGTTTCTGTTCATGCAGCCTTTAGAAGAAGAGCTTGAAGGTTTTTATTTTTCCTTTACTAGAATCTTGAACATGGTGACCAGGCAGGGAGCTTCGTGGGCCAACTCTCTCGGTTCTGTCGGTAAGATTACAAAGAAACAAACCCTGAAACATTAAACACAATTTTTTAGTCTTTAAAACTAATTTTTTCCGTTGCAGCGCTGTTGTATAGTGCTTTTGGCGTAGCGATAGAGAAAGCCCGAGGGGCAGAAGATGATATAAACACCGTGGCTGCCGGCACGCTAACGGGGATGCTCTTCAAATCCAGCGGTATGTTTAAAGCTTCATTGTGATTGTTTTGTTTTTTACCTTTTTTTTTTTTTTTTTGGTCCGTTAAAACTATAATGAAGGTTTAACAACATTTCCGCCTCATATAAAAATCGGCCGTTTTAAACCTGAAAGCATTTATGTGGTTTTTGATGTAAATTAAAAGCTAAATAAAAGGTTCTCATAAAGAACCTTTATTGAAGGTTGCGTTTGTGTGCAAACTTTTCTGCACTTTAAAATACATTTTCATAATTAAGTTGATCTGCTTTTTAAAGTCGTAGGGAAATCATATTTAAATGTCAAATCATTCTGGCTTAAATATGTATATCAATGTAGTATCAGACGATTTTGTCCCAAAATTTTGAAAATTTCTGTTTTTATCCTGTCTTAAAATCTTCGTTTTTTTAACGCAACGGTTGAAATCAGAATCCTTTCCTTAAACAATGTTGGTCCCTCAAAGCATCTGCTTCCTCATACCGGGTTATTCACAGATTTAAAGTCGTAGGGAAGCGGCTGTTCCAACCGTTGCAGTTCCGAATTCTCCTGAGTGGTGCACGACTTTACACGAGTGAATAAAGTGAATATGATTGGTCGTCTATCAAGGGGGCGGGATTGTGTGGCACAAGGTTCGCAAGCAAGTTTGGTTGTGGCCGGTTTGTGGGAACCATCTTGCTAACCAGTTAGCAACTTAGTGCTAGCAGGTTCCCAATGGGAAATTCCATTGGGACCAAGTAGCACTAAATTGGTGACTTAGAAATGACGCTGTCAAGGAACGCTATGGACAGCGGAAACATGCAAGAGGAGGAGAGTTTAGTGTCGGAGGTCGTGGATTAGTCTCCTCCGTCATCCATTTTTTATTTAGAGGAGGAAAGCGGGGACGAAGATGTTGTGGAAGAGAACGCCAGGGCGGCAGAAGCTTGGTTTGGTGTAGAAGGCTTCCAGCCGTACATGTTTGAGCCCTTGCCTCGCAACGCTGCCAGTTCTGTTAGCTCTACGCCTGCCGAAGACACAGACGTCCATCCCCGTGAACACTGGGACGCAACTCAATGGGAAAGGAAAGGATTCTGGTTTCAACCGTTGCGTATATTAGCTGCGACACATGGATCAAGATGCTATGATCGAAAACATTTGATTGACAGATGACCGTTGATATATGATTGGCTGAATTTAGGCCGAACTAACTGGCCTGCAGAGGATAACGAATTTAAATTGAATGAATTTTCTTACTTTTGGGACAATATCATCTGATAAAGAGTACATTTATATACATGTTTAAGCCAGATTGATTTGACATTTAAATGATTTCCCACCATGAGAAATAAATCTAGAAAGTATAAGATAAACATTCCATAAAAATTCAAACAAATATCCACTGGACTTGGTTTCCCTAGATTTGAAGACGTTTCGCCACCTCTCCAGGAAGCTTTCTCAATTCAAATGTCTGGATTGAGAAAGCTTCCTGGAGAGGTGGCGAAACATCTTCAAATCTTGGAAACCAAGTCCAGTGGATATTTGTTTGAATTTTTATGGAATGACTATGACCTGGATGACTGAGAACCTTCATCAGTATAAGATAAACAGCATTTATGGCAAAAAAAGTCAGTATTGCAGAAACAACTGAAATACCTGATTTGCTGGATGTTCCAGAGGAACAAACAATGAAAGTCTTAACATTTTGCTGCTCTGTTTGTCAAGACCAAACACTGCATTTATCACGTCCTGGATGGTAGAGTCCAGTTTCCAGGATAATTAATTAATTTAGGCGTTAATAAACAGTTTCAGAGGAGTAATCATAGCGCTCTGCATCAGCAGTGCTGCGTCTGACTCCCTGCCAGCTCCCAGATCAGCTTCTCATTGGTCGATGCGGCGCATCCAGAAGCTAAAGTTACATATTTCTGCTGCTTGTGAAACGCCTCAGACGCTCAGAGGCGCTGCAGGACCTGTCGATGTACGTCAACCATAGACTTTACATGTAAAGCGGCTTCTTCTTCTTAAATCGCGTGCGGTGTGAACGTAGCATAAAGCAAACAGAGCTGTTATCAGATCTGCAAAGATCCACGTTGCAGAATCAGATCAGAACTGAATCCCAGAGAATCGTCTCTCAGATGGAGCCGTTTCCTTTCACCTGCGGGGGGGTTCAGCGTGCAGACTAGCTGCCTGCTGGGCATGTTGGAACTTGGAGATGACTGACAGTAATAATTATGCTGATTGTTTGTTTAAAGCCTCTGCAGCTCAAACTGAACAGATTCCCATCCTGAGGTTTAGTCTTATTTACTGAGCTAATATTGCGTGTAATGATCGTTTTGCAGCGACGATGATGATGATGATGTTTATTTTCCCAGGAGGACTAAGGAGCGCGGCGCGCGGAGGTCTGGTTGGTTTAGCTGCATCTGGTGCCTACGCCCTTTACAACAACTGGGAGCATCTCACCGGCTCCTCCTCGCCCTCCTCCGCCCGGCTCTACTGACCCTGACCGCCATCTTCACCGTTCGGACGCAACATTTTATCACAGGCGGTTCATTTCTGTTCTTTTCCCACCTCAGTCCATCGCCTCCGAGCATTCTGGGAATTAGGAGAGAAAAGTGAATTCCTCTGTTAGCATGTTTTTTTCTCATCAGTGAGGATGTATGAAATCCTGACTCCTATTTTTATTGATCGTGACTCATCAGTCTGCAGTGAGAAAGCGTCACGACATTTAGCTTAAAGATCAGACTCACAGGGCAGCACCTGGCGTGCCGTCAGGATGAGGCGTTTCTGACCAAAAGACTTTCACCACCTTTAAACACGCAGCTAATTCTGACCGTCTGATCAGTTATATTTATTAAAACAATTAACTGTTCGTGGTTTCAGTCTCTGAACTGGAACTGCTTCCTGTTCTTGTTTCTCCACCAAATCCGCAGTTTGAGAAACTGAAATAAAACAAAAAAAGATGGAAATGTTGTCGATTATTCAGTGTTTGATCTCCTTTATTGCAGAAGGTAACTTATAAAGGCCTGCAGACTAGATGCAGGTCAGAGTTTATTTACATTGTTAAATGTTTGATTTGTGGAATAAAAACGATCTGAAGTTAAAAGGAGCAGAGCTCGTCAGTGCAGGAAGAAGTCCCTGATGCGGGTCGCCTCGATCCAGGGGATGTAGGCGGCGGTGCGGGTGAAGACGCTCGGCTTGTTCTCCACGGTGCAGCCGATGGGCCCGAAGCTCACCACGCCGTGCACCTCCCAGCGATCACGGCCCAGCTGGCACAGCAGAGGGCCGCCGGAGTCACCCTGAGGATGGAAGAGGAGCGATGAGACGACGTCTGACCTACAGAAAGATCTCCTGTCCGCCGGGCGTTACCTGACAGGCTGCAGGCGGGTCCTCGGTGTCCCTGAACCCGGCACAGATCATGGAATCCCGGACACGGTCGCCCCAGAACTTCTTCTGCCGGCAGGTTTTGAAGTCGATGATGGGAAGACGGGCCTGATTCAGAGCTTCTGCCAGCGAGACGTTCTCCTTCCCCCCTGAAATGATCGCAGACAGAAAATAAAGGCCGCACCTTTAGCTGCTTCGAATACTGGACAATTTTCCAGCAGACTATGAAGGCCTGACAGTCTGGAGGGAGAACAAACGGCTGTTTGCAGAGTAGCGGGTTAAATGTGGGACGTCCCAGTCGGATAACGGAAATTTGTCCAAAACCAGCCAAATAAATAAAATGATGTGGAAGAGAAAAGGAGAGTTAATTTTCATTTTTTCTTAACATTTATTGACCACTGTAGCAGAGGATGCAGACATGTCTAGAAGGCGGCCATCTTGGATCAGACCACAGTTCAGACGGCTGCTGTCAGAATGAACAGGAGGCGCCTTAGATCTGATTTTAATCGCATGAAAGACGAGTCAAAGATAACATTACAATAACTCCTTACATTTCTTAACCCCTTAAAGACCAGAACTAATTTAAAATGACGTTTCAGTCAGATTACACAGATTTATTCAGATTTAAAACTATTTAAACTGAACTCAAACTGGATGAAATATAAACATGCAGTTATATATTTTACAATTAAATAGGAATGATAAACACGTTTTAAATTTATATAACATATAAATATATTTTTATATATCTTATCTAGTATTTTTAAGGATTGCTCTTTGATAATGTCTTATGATATATAGAGGAAATGTGGTTGTAATATGATTTAAAAGTAAATATATATAAATAAAAACTAGGGATGTACGATATTGGGATTTTGGCCGATATCCGATATGCCGATATTTTAAAACTCATGTAGCCGATAACCGATATCGATACCGATGTTAAAGCTGGACAAAAATAAGTAGTCATTGAAAATAGCAGTTTTATTATCCATTTCTGACACTTTGAAAAATAATATACTCAAATATATTTTCATATGCTGATATCAAATAGATTTTTAAAAACACGGTATCGATCTATTTTACTTACAAAATCTCGTGAAATTTCATCGCTCTGTTACAAACTCTCGTGATATTTTGCAAGTTCTTGTGAGATTTTGTTGGTAAAATAGATCGATACCGCGTCAATATATCAACATATAAAAATATGGCAAGATTTTGTGAAATTTTCGGGGGATTTCGTAGCATAACGATGACATATAGCAATATTTCATTAGTAAAAGAGATTGATATGGTGTTTTTAAATGGCAATATATCAGCATATGAAGATATTGGGATATTTAATGGATCAATATTTTTTCCCTCGTCTTTAGAAGTTTTTAAGTCTGTAAAAAAGAAGTTTTTGAGGAAGAAGAAGAAGTAGTATTTTTTTTTTTTTTTTGACTTTAGAAATTCAGAATATTGGGTTAAATATCGGTGGGGTGGCCGATGTCTGATATTCAGTTTTTAGGCCGATACCGATAGGGGGCCGATTATATCGTGCATCCCTAATAAAAACTGTTTTCTCACCCCTCGTGGGGAGCTAGAAAAGATGTGGAAAGTAAGAGCAGCAGTGGTGCCAGTGGTAATTGGAGCACTGGGAGAGTGGCTACAGCAGATTCCAGGTAAAACATATAACATATATACACCCAAAGCTATCCTGCTGGACCCAAGCAGATTTATGCTCAAAGGGATTGTAATGTCTAGCCTTTACACACAAACATAGCTATATATAAAATATATATTTATCTATATATCTCCTCATTCACAACTTTTAGAAATCAGGGCATTTTTAGCTCTTCTCAGCTTCATCACTGCTACTCATCTTGTTTAAACACTAGAAAAACCAGAACTGTGAAACATGAGGATAATCTGTCATAAAATCCTACTAATGAAATAATCTCACTGGATCTGGTTTGTAGTCTCCTTTTATATTTTCACCCTTAGCAGGAATAAATTATCGGGCATTCTGAGGTTTAGCTCTGGAAGTTTGCTAACTGTCGATACTAAAAAATCAAATTTATATATCAAAACAGAAAATCAGATCGATCAGTTGGCCCCATGTGGCCCCGGAAACTTTCTGGTTTTCAGCCAGCCAGTTTATCTGGAAATCAGTTAAGAGTTCATTGGATTCAGAGCGTCTAACATCATAAAGTAGGATTAGCATCCATTGACAGGTGTTCTTTCTGACAGCAGCTTGGTCTGACCCAAGATGGCCACTCTGCCGGAACGCCTCTCAAACCAAATTATTGGTTTCTCGACTTTCTAAATATATTTAAGTACATTCTGGACACAAAGGAGTTCAGATTGGTGTTTATATTTTTCATTTGTGTGTCAGTGTGTGAAAGTGTTTATTAATGGATGATTAAAGTGAAAATCTCTGGTTTAGCGGTCGGTTCCTACCCTCACCTATGGTCATTAATCTGGATCATGACCCAAAGAACCAGATCCTACAAGTGGCCGAAATTAGCTTCCTCTACAGGGTGGCTGGGCTCAGCCTAAGAGAGAGGGTGAGGAGCTCAGAGGAGAGCTGCTTCTCCTCATCGAAAGGAGTCCGCTGAGGAGAATCAGACATTTTTTGGATGCCCCCTGTACGCCTCCCTCAGGGGATGTTCCAGGCTCATCCCACCAGGAGGAGGACTCTCCTCCTCCATTTTAGATGTGATTAATCTATCTCTGTTACAGGGATATGTACCTAAAGCTTTTAAGGTTGCTGTAATTAAACCTCTGCTTAAGAAACCGTCTCTTGACCCAGATGACTTGGTCAATTATAGACCTATATCCAATCTTCCTTTCTTATCCAAAATTCTTGAGAAAGTAGTTGCCAAACAAGTTTGCGATCACTTCCACCATAATGAACTTTTTGAAGAGTTTCAGTCTGGCTTTAGAGCTCATCATAGCACTGAAACAGCTCTGGTGAAAGTCACTAATGATATTCTCATGGCCTCAGATAATGGACTTGTATCTGTGCTCGTCCTGTTGGATCTTAGTGCTGCATTTGATACAGTTGACCATAATATTCTTTTAGAAAGACTTGAATATTTTGTTGGAATTAAAGGAACAGCACTAGACTGGTTTAAATCTTATCTATCTGATCGAATTCAGTTTGTTCATGTTAATGATAGATCTTCAACACGCTCAAAGGTTACCTGTGGAGTACCACAGGGATCAGTGCTAGGACCAATTCTCTTTACTTTATACATGCTCCCAATTGGTAGAATTATTAGACAGCATGGGATTAATTTCCACTGTTATGCTGATGATACCCAGCTATATCTGTCTATAAATCCAGATGAAGCTAACCCATTACATAGATTACAGGCATGTCTTGAAGACATAAAAACCTGGATGACTCTTAACTTTCTGCTTCTGAATGCAGACAAAACAGAAGTTATAGTCTTTGGACCAGAGTCTCTGAAAAAGAAACTGATTAGCCAGTCACTTCATTTGGATGGGATTAAACTGATTTCAGATAATAAAGTAAAAAATCTTGGTGTTGTTTTTGATCAGGACCTGTCATTTAAATCCCACATCAAAGAGGTTTCTAGAATTTCCTTCTTTCATCTGAGGAACATTGCAAAAATTAGAAATCTCCTGTCCAGGGGTGATGCTGAGAAACTAGTCCATGCATTTGTTACTTCAAGGCTGGACTATTGTAATTCTTTACTATCAGGAAGTCCACAAACTGTAGTTAAAAGCCTTCAGCTGATCCAAAATGCTGCAGCCAGAGTTCTAATGAAAATTAAAAAGAGAGATCATATCTCGCCTATCCTGGCTTCTCTTCATTGGCTTCCTGTTAAATCAAGAATAGAATTTAAAATCCTCCTTCTCACATATAAAGCCTTAAATGGCCAAGCTCCATCTTATATCAGAGATCTGATTGTTCCTTATGTTCCTAACAGAGCACTTCGCTCTCAATCTGCAGGTTTACTAGTGGTTCCTAGAATTTCTAAAAGTAGAATGGGAGGCAGATCTTTTAGTTATCAGGCTCCTCTCCTGTGGAACCAACTACCAGTTTTAGTCCGTGAGGCAGACACCCTGTCTACTTTTAAGGCTAGGCTTAAAACTTTCCTTTTTGATAAAGCTTATAGTTAGAGTGGCTCAGGTTATCCTGAGCTATCTCTATAGTTATGCTGCTATAGGCTTAGACTTTTGGAGGACATAGGGACCCCCATTTCATCATTCTGCTTCATTCTCTCTCTGTTCTCCTATTCTGCAGAATCTCTTAGTTCAATCTCTAACCTTCTGCTCTCTCTGCTTTTCCTCAGAGTAGCTTTGCCTCGTCTGTTCCTGTTTGGCTGTGACGTCATCCTGGAAAGAAACATCAGCTGTGCTGCTTCTATCAACACCCTTGTTTATAGATGTTGGAGATCGGCCTGTTTTCCAGTGTGGTCCTGTTTCTCTGACCGTGACTGAGTGGATGTGCTTTCTTCGTCCTCTGGCATGGGAGCTGCCTTGGAGCTCGTCTGCCTGGCTGTGTGTTTCCTGGACGGGGCCGCCTTTTACAGTTGCTTTTTGTATCTCTGCTTCTGTCTCCTTGAACCCCAGTCGGCCTCGGCAGATGGCCGCTCACACTGAGCCTGGTTCTGCTGGAGGTTTCTTCCTGTTAAAAGGGAGTTTTTCCTCTCCACTGTCGCTACAAGCATGCTTAGTGTGGGGGATTGTATTTGAGTCAATGAGTCAGTGCAATCAACTGGTTTTCCTTGGATAGAAAACTTTGTATCAATTTGATCTGGTTGAACTGTAAAGTGCCTTGAGATGACATGTGTTGTGAATTTGGCGCTATATAAATAAACTGAATTGAATTGAATTGAATTGAGGACCAGGGATCACGTCATTTGGCCTCTTTCATGCCGCCACCATGTTTGACTTTACATTGAGACTTTTTTCCTCCTCGTATTTCTGAGATCATGATTGTGATTGGTCTGCTTCCTTGAACCCGCCCCTTTATATGTGCGTGTCACTACCCGATCCATCCCGGAAGCACAATCCATTCTGCGCATGCGCAAACAGATATACATCCATAAATAATGTAATTATGCTACTAAAACTACTAATTTCTATCCTTAACTCTCTATAGAATGCTAATATATATCTTTAAAAAAATGTTTTATGACTTCTGTGGAACAAATTTTATGTTTTTTCCATTTTCTCCGTTAAACTGCTTCTCTGATGTCATCTTGGGACATGCTAAGGATAGTTCAGCAAAATCTGATTAAACCATGTTTATCTGCATTTTAGTTGTTTCCTTCCTTAAATTACGCACTATATAGCATAAGATTAAAATGAAACGAAAACATAAAACTCAAAAAGACCAGATTTATGTTTAAATCCAAAGCCGAAAAAGTTAGCCACCGGAGGTAGCGTAGGATCCCACTTCCAGAGACGAGTAATAAAACAGAAAGCATTTTAAGGCATTTCATTTGTTAACCTTTAACACATTATATTTTAGTACCTTCACTATCTTTGGGGACAGAAAACCTCATTTAGGTATTTTTAACTAAATAAAATCGAAAACGACCTGGATGTATATCTAAGGTGGCATGCGCGAATGAGCTGAACGGATCGTGCTTCCGGGGCGGATCGGGTAGCGACAGCGGACGATCATAGACTCAGGATTAGTTTAGGCTCGATCGAGTTAGCAAGCTGATCACCATCTTGGTGGTGCGGTTGATCCTGATGGCCGTTATTATGGACTGGTTTAACTGGATAGACTGGGAGGAATCCTTCTTGGTTGAGCTCGCTTCATGGTACGGGCCTCTGGTCATTTTCTCTAGAAACTATTGTCGGTGTAAAGTTAGTTCATTGTTTTTATAAGTTTTAATCTCTCCTCCGATTTATTTTAATTAATAGTTTGCGGCGAATATCTCCTCTCTTCCTTTATTAAACGAGCCTGAAGGATTTTTTTCCTGCTTGCAAATCATAACTAAATAGATAGAGAGAAAGTGCAGTACTGCCACTGACCTTCAGGAGGCGCTAAATCTGGAAGGTCTATCGCCCCCTAGTGGCTTAAAGTTTCATAGTATCCAGCATTCAGCCCTGCTTTGGTCTCTGGTTCTGGGTTTGTGTCCCCGGACCCTGACTCACCTCTGGTGTCCCCCCAGCCCGTCACCCAGCAGTAGTGCCCTGGTTTCAGGGGGGTCTGCTTGCGCGGCAGGCAGGCGTAGCGGATGAAGTTGGAGGGCAGGATGTCTGTGGCGGCCTTCACCAGGGCGATATCATAGTCCAGATCGCTGTGAGCAGGGTAGCGGAAGTTCTCGTGTCTGTAGATCCTCCTGATGGGGAAAATCCTCTCTGCAGACTCGGAGCGCTTCAGCTGGTGCTTCCCGAGGACAATCCTCCAGCTCCCAGGATCCTCTGCTTTACCCCTGAGAGGATTTGATATGAAATGATTTATTTGGTTCCAACATGCACCTGGTGTTTGGGTTATGCAGCATCATCTTACTTCTGGAAGCAGTGAGCTGCAGTGAGCACCCAGTTCTTATGGATGAGGGTTCCTCCACAGACATGAATGTAGTGTTTGCTTCCTCTGGGTCGAACCTGAGGCCACACAGAACCACCGTCAGAAAATAAATCTCACCATTTGGCTTCATTCTAATCAAATGTTATCTAAGCCTGTCCCAGTTTTTTTTTTAGCATGACCTCTGCTTTAACTTCCCTAATTTTTATTTACTTATTATATTTATATTTTATTTCCATCTTCAACATTTCTGTTAGTGAATTTATTGTATTTTTCAAGTTTATCTAAAGGCGATAGCTGCAAATTTAACTCCTCCCAGCCAGTAGGTGGCGCACTTGCTCAACAGGTTTTGATTAATCCTTTTGTTGAAAAAATTGCAGCTCTGACCTTTAAACTTTTATTTCAACTATAATCTTTTAGCTTTTATTTTATATAACAAATATAAAAATTATAATAATGCTAATTTGTTTGTTTTGAAGATTTCTAAACCGTTTTTATTATATTTAATTGTATAAAGACTGATGTACAGACATAATCTGACTGAACGCTAATTTTACCCGCCTAAGGCAGGGGTCAACGACCTTTTTAAGGGTTAGATCTAATTCATGGGTGGTGAGTCATTACCAATACTGACCTTAAAGTAGAAGAGCAACAATAAAATACAGTTTCACAATTAGAGCACTGGTGAGTTATTCTGTTTTCAGATGTTCCCCATGTGATCCACCGAGGGCATTTTTTTTTGTTGTGGAGAGGCGGGTCATTTAAAAAATTTGCGATGACCTCTACCATACCTTTAAGGGATCATCTGAGATCACCCGCAGGTTGCTTATTTGATAGTTTAAGGCTTAAAAAAATAATCTTTGTTACTTTGGAGCTTTAAATACACCTAATAAAACTGACTTAGAATGAATCACTGAGAAATAAGTTCACATCAGTGATTCAAATTAAACTAATTTCACTCAGTTGTATATTTAAGATGTCTGTTTCTAACAAATTAGATAAGTGTTATTATTTGAACGTTTGGATTTTACATTAAGCCAATACAAATTAGTTTTTTTAACACAGAAATGTAAAGTTATTGTAAAGTATGTAAGTACTATACAGTGTATGGTGACTCAGCACTTTTTTAGAAGTGGTGCATTGTGGGATGGAATCAATCAGCCTGAGGGTCTGCTGTGAGCCAGCTTCACCTCACATCCTCCTCTTCAGGTTTTCCCCGTGGATTTATCACGCAGATAATGTTACTTTGGGCTGATTGGGTTAGAGCAGTGTTTCCCTAATGGTGTGCCTCGGCACACTGGTGTGCCGTGAGTCAAGTGCGGGTGTGCCGTGGAATTTTGTGACAACCATATATGGTCATTACAATATAATAACAGAAAAATAAAATGCCTATAGGGTCATATCACTACTTTGAGTGCATTCATTTTCACAAAACAGAGGCAAACTTATGGAAGCCCGTTTCCGCCACTCTGTAAAAAAAAAAATATATATAATACTCAATATATAATCTCAATATAATGAGATAGTAACTCAATATAATGAGATAGTATCTCATTATAATGAGATAGTAACTCAATATAATGAGATAGTAACTCAATATAATGAGATAGTAACTCAATATAATGAGATACTATCTCATTATATTGAGATAGTTTTTTTTTTTTTTTTACCAATTTTTTAAGTTAAAATTGAGTATTTTTGGTCAATAGCTCCCAGGTCATGTGACCTATTGACCCCAAATCAGTGTGAAATTGTTCTACTAGTCTCTGTAGATGGGGCACACTCATTTGATTTTCATTTTAACTCTTTTTTTTTATTTTTTACCAATTTTTTTAGTTAAAATTGAGTATTTTTGGTCAATAGCTCCCAGGTCATGTGACCTATTGACCCAAAATCAGTGTGAAATTGTTCTACTAGTCTCTGTAGATGGGGCACACTTATTTGTTTTTCATTTTAACTCTTTTTCTATTTTTTACCACATATGGACACCCTTATGCTTGAACATGGTGTTCGTTACGGACAATCCATGACGAGCACAGAAGTCCAACAACAGAACACCACTCGAGTTCAGATCGGGGCGACCATTCCTCCCAACCATGCCCCTCCAGGTCTCACTGTCATTGCTCACGTGAGCGTTGAAGTCTCCCAGCAGAACAAGGGAGTCCCCAGGAGGGGCACCCTCCAGTTCTCCCTCTAAGGACTCCAAGAAGGGTGGGTAATCTGAACTGTTGTTCGGCCCGTTAGCACAGACAACAGTCAGAACCCGTCCCCCCACCCTTAGGCGGAGCCCTCTCGTTCACCGGGATGAACCCCAACGTACAGGCGCCGAGATGGGGGGCAACAAGTATGCCCACTCCTGCCCAGCGCCTCTCACTGTGGGCAACTCCAGAGTGGAAGTATGTCCAGCCCCTCTCAAGGAGACTGGTTCCAGAACCAGAACCATACGTCGAGGTGAGACAGACTATTTCTAGCTGGAACCTCTCAGCCTCACACGCTAGCTCCGGTCCCTTCCCACCAGCGAGGTGACATTCCACATCCCAAGAGCCAGCTTCTGCAGCCGAGGATCGGACCACCAGGGTCCCCTCCCCCGGCCAACACACATTGCATACGATCCTTATGGCCCCTCTCACGGGTGGTGGGCCCATGTAAGGGGGGACCCAACAATTCACACTGATTTTGGGTCAATAGGTCACATGACCTGGGAGCTATTGACCAAAAATACTAAATTTTAACTAAAAAAAATGGTAAAAAATAAAAAAAGAAGAGTTAAAATGCAAAACAAATGAGTGTGCCCCATCTACAGAGACTAGTAGAACAATTTCACACTGATTTTGGGTCAATAGGTCACATGACCTGGGAGCTATTGACCAAAAATACTCAATTTTAACTAAAAAAATTGGTAAAAAAATAAAAAAAGAAGAGTTAAAATGCAAAACAAATGAGTGTGCCCCATCTACAGAGACTAGTAGAACAATTTCACACTGATTTTGGGTCAATAGGTCACATGACCTGGGAGCTATTGACCAAAAATACTAAATTTTAACTAAAAAAAATGGTAAAAAATAAAAAAAGAAGAGTTAAAATGAAAAACAAATGAGTGTACCCCATCTACAGAGACTAGTAGAACAATTTTACACTGATTTTGGGTCAATAGGTCACATAACCTGGGAGCTATTGAAGAAAAATACTCAATTTTAACTTAAAAAATTGCTAAAAAATAAAAAAAGAGTTAAAATGAAAAATAAATGAGTGTACCCCATCTACAGAGACTAGTAGAACAATTTCACACTGATTTTGGGTCAATAGGTCACATGACCTGGGAGCTATTGACCAAAAATACTCAATTTTAACTAAAAAAATTGGTAAAAAAATAAAAAAAGAAGAGTTAAAATGCAAAACAAATGAGTGTGCCCCATCTACAGAGACTAGTAGAACAATTTCACACTGATTTTGGGTCAATAGGTCACATGACCTGGGAGCTATTGACCAAAAATACTAAATTTTAACTAAAAAAAATGGTAAAAAATAAAAAAAGAAGAGTTAAAATGAAAAACAAATGAGTGTACCCCATCTACAGAGACTAGTAGAACAATTTTACACTGATTTTGGGTCAATAGGTCACATAACCTGGGAGCTATTGAAGAAAAATACTCAATTTTAACTTAAAAAATTGCTAAAAAATAAAAAAAGAGTTAAAATGAAAAATAAATGAGTGTACCCCATCTACAGAGACTAGTAGAACAATTTCACACTGATTTTGGGTCAATAGGTCACATGACCTGGGAGCTATTGACCAAAAATACTCAATTTTAACTAAAAAAATTGGTAAAAAAATAAAAAAAGAAGAGTTAAAATGCAAAACAAATGAGTGTGCCCCATCTACAGAGACTAGTAGAACAATTTCACACTGATTTTGGGTCAATAGGTCACATGACCTGGGAGCTATTGACCAAAAATACTAAATTTTAACTAAAAAAATTGGTAAAAAATAAAAAAAAAGAGTTAAAATGAAAATCAAATGAGTGTGCCCCATCTATAGAGACTAGTAGAACAATTTCCAAGTGATTTTGCGTCAATAGGTCACATGATCTGGGAGCTATTGACCAAAAATACTAAATTTTAACTAAAAAAATTGGTAAAAAATAAAAAAAAAGAGTTAAAATGAAAAACAAATGAGTGTACCCCATCTACAGAGACTAGTAGAACAATTTTACACTGATTTTGGGTCAATAGGTCACATAACCTGGGAGCTATTGAAGAAAAATACTCAATTTTAACTTAAAAAATTGCTAAAAAATAAAAAAAGAGTTAAAATGAAAAATAAATGAGTGTACCCCATCTACAGAGACTAGTAGAACAATTTCACACTGATTTTGGGTCAATAGGTCACATGACCTGGGAGCTATTGACCAAAAATACTCAATTTTAACTAAAAAAATTGGTAAAAAAATAAAAAAAGAAGAGTTAAAATGCAAAACAAATGAGTGTGCCCCATCTACAGAGACTAGTAGAACAATTTCCAAGTGATTTTGCGTCAATAGGTCACATGATCTGGGAGCTATTGACCAAAAATACTCAAATTTAACTTAAAAAATTGCTAAAAAATAAAAAAAGAGTTAAAATGAAAAACAAATGAGTGTGCCCCATCTACAGAGACTAGTAGAACAATTTCACACTGATTTTGCATCAATAGGTCACATGACCTGGGAGCTATTGACCAAAAATACTCAATTTTAACTTAAAAAAATGGTAAAAAAAAAAAAAAAACTATCTCAATATAATGAGATACTATCTCATTATATTGAGTTACTATCTCATTATATTGAGATACTATCTCATTATATTGAGATAGTTTTTTTTTTTTTTTACAGAGTGGCGGAAACGGGCTTTAAAATAATCTAAAAAAAAAAAAAAAAAAAAAAACTCAAGGTGAACTCCCGGACCACGGAGATGCGCAGGTAGGAATTATCATCCGGTGGCGCAAGGCTTTGGAACAGGGCACGATGGACATGTTACCGCTGGCATCAGCTGTGCCGCAGGCAGGAAAGGAGCGCGCATTATATGCCGAACACCTTCAGAGCTTAAAAGAGAGGTTTGAGCGCTACTTTCCACATGTTGCTGACGTTGAGGATTGCGACTGGATCCGAGACCCATTCAACCAGGAGTCTTCAACAGAAAAACGGACAATGAAAGAAAGAGAGGAGTGCGCAGAGCTCCGTGCGGACCGCACATTAAAACTCAAATTTAGTGAGCTCCCACTGGATCAGTTTTGGTTGGCTTCTGCATCAGAATACCCAAACATCTCACGCCACGCAATTGAGCAACTTCTTCTTTTCCCCACTACTTACCTGTGTGAGCTGGCGTTCTCTACTCTGGTTTACATGAGGAACAACAGGAGGTCACGGCTCTCTGTTGAACAGGACTTGCGTTTGGCCCTCTCCTCAGTGCCACCAAGGATTAAAAAAATCTGTGCGCACCGACAGGCACACGTGTCTCACTAATTTGTAAGCAGGCAAAATATTTACAACAGCACACGTTTCAATGCTGATAAAAAATGTTACAGTTATTATTTGTAGTTCAGGACAATGGACAGTGCAGCTTCCTTGCATTGACAGTTCTTTGTGCTTAATTTCTGCTGAGTTTTCTTTGCTTCGTTTTTAATTTTGTGAACAATGATTTAAATAGGCGTGTGGCTGCTTTGATGGAGCCTATTTTGATGAAGTTTCAAATTAAATTTTGGAATATTTTGTTAACAAATATTTAATGAGTAATATAGTTGTCACAATTTATTTTGAATTAGTACATAATTATAACAAATATTTTGCTAAACACGATGGATGACACAGGTTTTAAATGCTCTTTAGCACAATAAGTGTGCCTTGAGATTTTTACTTGTCCTTTGGTGTGCCTTGGGCACAAAAAGTTTGGGAACCACTGGGTTAGAGAACACCTGCTGCAACTTTAGACTCGATAAAGTTGAACGACTGCTTCCCCAAATCATCTCTGCCTGTGGAAATATCTCACTGTTGTATCTAAATTTGCGACCTTTGTGATCCTTTGAAATCACACCGGAAAAAGCTGGTTGTGGACCATTGACAGTCACTCTGACTGTCTTTCTGACCGTCTCTCTGACGTCCCTCTGTCTGTCACTCTAACCGTCACTCTGACAGTTGCTATGACCACGGCCTGATAGTCGCTTTAACTGTCGCTCTGCCCGTCGCTCTGACAGTCGCTCTGACAGTCTTTCTGACCGTCGCTCTGACAGTCACTCTGACCGTCGCTCTGCCCGTCGCTCTGACAGTCGTTCTGCCCGTCGCTCTGACAGTCGCTCTGACAGTCTTTCTGACCGTCGCTCTGACAGTCACTCTGACCGTCGCTCTGCCCGTCGCTCTGACAGTCGTTCTGCCCGTCGCTCTGACAGTCGCTCTGACAGTCTTTCTGACCGTCGCTCTGACCGTCACTCTAACCATCGCTCTGACAGTCGCTCTGCCCGTCGCTCTGCCCGTCGCTCTGACAGTCGTTCTGCCCGTCGCTCTGACAGTCGCTCTGACAGTCTTTCTGACCGTCGCTCTGACCGTCACTCTAACCGTCGCTCTGACAGTCGCTCTGCCCGTCGCCTGACAGTTGCTCTGATCATCTCTCTGACAGTCACTCTGACTGTCGCTCTGACAGTCGCTCTGCCCGTCGCCTGACAGTTGCTCTGATCATCTCTCTGACAGTCACTCTGACCGTCGCTCTGACCATCACTCTAACCGTCGCTCTGACAGTCGCTCTGCCCGTCGCCTGACAGTTGCTCTGATCATATTCTCTGACAGTCACTCTGACCGTCGCTCTGACCATCACTCTAACCGTCGCTCTGACAGTCGCTCTGCCCGTCGCCTGACAGTTGCTCTGATCATCTCTCTGACAGTCACTCTGACCGTCGCTCTGACCATCACTCTAACCGTCGCTCTGACAGTCGCTCTGCCCGTCGCCTGACAGTTGCTATGATCATCTCTCTGACAGTCACTCTTAACGTCGCTCTCACCATCACTCTAACCGTCGCTCTGACAGTCGCTCTGCCCGTCGCCTGACAGTTGCTCTGATCATCTCTCTGACAGTCACTCTGATTGTCTTTCTGACCGTCTCTCTGACCATCGCTCTGGCCGTCGCTCTGGCCGTCGCTCTGACAGTTGCTCTGATCATCTCTCTGACAGTCACTCTGACCGTCGCTCTGACCATCACTCTAACCGTCGCTCTGACAGTCGCTCTGCCCGTCGCCTGACAGTTGCTATGATCATCTCTCTGACAGTCACTCTTAACGTCGCTCTCACCATCACTCTAACCGTCGCTCTGACAGTCGCTCTGCCCGTCGCCTGACAGTTGCTCTGATCATCTCTCTGACAGTCACTCTGATTGTCTTTCTGACCGTCTCTCTGACCATCGCTCTGGCCGTCGCTCTGGCCGTCGCTCTGACAGTCGCTCTAACTGTCGCTCTGCCCGTCGCTCTGACAGTCGCTCTGACCGTTGCTCGGACTGTCTTTCTGACCGTCTCTCTGACGTCACTCTGTCTGTCACTCTAACCGTCACTCTGACAGTTGCTATGACCAGGGCCTGATAGTCGCTCGGACTGTCGCTTCGCCCGTCGCCTGACAGTTGCTCTGATCATCTCTCTGACAGTCACTCTAACCGTCATTCTGACAGTTGCTCTGACCACCTCTCTAACAGTCACTCTGGCAGTCGCTCTGACAGTCATTCTAACTGTCAATCTGACTGTAACACTGAAAGTCGCTCTGACAGTCCCTCTGAACGTCTCTGAGAGTCCCTCTGACCGTCGCTCTGACTGTCACTCTGACAATAGCTCTGACCGTCACTATAACCATCACTCTGACCGTCGCTCTGACATCAGCTGACAGTCGCTCTGACCATCACCTGACAGTCACTCTGACAGCTGCTCTGTCGGTCGCCCGGATGGTCGCTCTTACAGTTGCTCTGATACTTCTGGTTGCAGTCCTTTTCCTGGAAGCAGTAACTCCAGATAAAATCCTCGGTCCCTTCAGATAGACGATCATCCCTTAGGCTTGGCCAAATGTTTTTCTTTCACTTAACTTTCCTGTTTTTTGGGCCAAAACTTTAGATTTCTGTATTTAAAATGCATTTGTTTGCTAACTTGTCATATTGATCCCTTCCACAACTTAAATAAACAATCTGCAATTTGTTGCGATGTACTTAAATGTCTATGAGATGATAAAAATTATCTTGAAAAGGGCTAATGACAAAACTGAAAGCAGCAGTTTAACCAAATGTTGACATTCAGCTGCCTAAAGTGACAGTGATCCTTGAAGCAGAGAGTCCTGTGGGTTTGATTTACCTGCAGAGAGACCTGCCAGGGCCAGGAGTGAGGTCTGGCCTCATTTCCAGAGACAATCCTCTCAACCATGTTGGGCTTGAAGTGGGGCATGCCGCAATCCTGAGGCCAGTCTGGGAGGAAGGAACCGCCACAGTCAAACACACAAACATCACTGAGATATTTTTACTCCTGGAGGAGTTTGATTTCCTCACCCAGATGGAGGATTTTGTGCTGTGGCTGGTGCTCAGACACAAGCGTGTATGCAGCTGCAGGCAGTGATGCCTTGCTCAAGAGCAGCAACAGGGACAGAAACCGGAGCAGAGGCGGTCCTGGTGCAGCCATCGTCTTCGACAGAATAGCCGACCAGTCCTCAACCAACACTATTTATAGCAAGCAGCAAAAAGCAAACAGGCACACGAACGGTTCATACAAACACAGACGAGCACAACGGCAATCCTGCAGGGACAATGAGATGGTGTCACAACAAAAGCAGAGCGCTGGATAGTTCTCCTCTAGCTGCTCGGAAAAAAGGGATTTTATTTTCAAGCAGGAGTCCCATCAGCACTTTCCACATACAAACAGTATGCTCACACACACACGGACATGTGTGCCACACAAAGGAGGCAGCGTTTTTTTTTTCTTTACCCAAAGCAGCCCAGTCCATCCTGCTAGATCAGACTCTGATGTGAAGATGGAGTCAATTAAAGTAGAAACAGGAGGATCTGGGTCAGGTGGGACCATGTGGCTCATCAAACAGGTTTGGTGAAGAAAAACTGCAGCAGGAGGAGCTACACTGCAAAAAATTTGATCTAAATAAGTATTTTGTTCTTAAAATAAGTGCATTTTTCTTTAAATTGAGGAGATAAGTGAGACAATTTGCCAACGGAACAAGATAATTTACATGTAAAATAAGAAAAAACCAACAGCATTGTCTTATTTCAAGTGCATATTATCTAATTATCTTATTCTAAGAATAAAAATACTTAATCCACAGGTAAATAATCTTATTTATATGCTCAAATTAAGGGTAAATACACTTAATTTAAGAAATATTGACTTATTTCTAGATTTTTTTTGCAGTGTACTGCTGCCATTCAATCTTTGCTTCTAAACTAACTTCTGTGTTTTCGCACCTTCTCCATCCCTGCCACCAAACAACGATTTATATTCTTTTATTTCAATAACATTTAGATTTTTTAAACTTGTTTGCTTTCTTGCCGTCTTATTTCTTTATTTTAACGGCACTTCCGTCAATATGGAGGATAAAAAGTGCCAAAATTAAATAAATACAGCATTGAATAAATAATTAAATGTGAAATTAAATAAATGTCATTCATTAATTAAAACCACGTCACTAATATAAAGTTCCACAATTAAATAAATAAATACAGCAATAAACAATTAAATGTATAATTCATTAAATAAATAAGGAATTAAATATATAAATGTGTTATTAATTTAATAAAATACATCTTAATTTTATAAAAAAAAATATATATATATAATTATTTCAGTGTGCATTTAATCATTTCATGGTCCTGTGTCTCAGTGCATCGAAACCATTAAAAGAATCTGTCAAACTCACCCATCAAAGTTAGGGGGCGGGGTTAACGCGAATCGAGTCTCTGTAATCGATTTGCTTCGCCTTAATGTGCAGGGTGACCAATCAGGTGTTAGATAACCGCCCCCTAACTTTGATGGGTGAGTTTGACAGATTCTTTTAATGGTTTCCTTATTTATTTAATGAATTACACATATAATTAATTGTTTATCGCTGTATTTATTTATTTAAATGTGGCACTTTATATTAGTGACGTGGTTTTAATTAATGAATGACACATTTATTGATTTAATTCCACATTTAATTAATTATTTAATGCTGTATTTATTTATTTAATTTTGGCACTTTTTATCTTCCATACATCAACACTTGCTGCACGTGTGGAATATCTACACATAAACAGATACCTGTAAAACGGCAGTAGAAGCTCCTGGTGAGCAGAGCTTTTCTTGCTGTAGTGAATAAAAGAGAATGTGCCCGCTCATCTGAATGGCTGAGCCTGAATGGTCAGATCTCACCACCGCGGTTCACCAAGTTTACATACAACTCTGCTCAGTGTGTTTACCGGGGTAACGAGGTGAAGGGGGGCGCAGGCACAAATGACAACAAGTTCAGCCAAAAATACCAGCAATAGAGGAAATAACTGGTGGTAATAAAGATGCAGAAATCTACATTTTGTGACCCTTTTTCAAATTTCTGTTTTTGTCTCTTTTGGTCATAGTTGATATATCCACACAACCATAATATATGGAGGTAAAGCATATATAACCAGTCACACCTTGACCAAATAGCTTTTTGAAGCTATAGGTAAAGTCCTGGAATTATTCCTGGATTATTAGGGGAGTGTTGACCTGGTACAGGGGTCACCAATTAAAAATCAGCGGGGTTCAAATACAGAAAATCATCAACCAGTAAAGGTCAGGAGACATTTTTTGTTATAATCTGTTACTTTAAACAGAATTTAACACTGAAATAAAAAGCAGCTGTTAATGCATCCATGTTATACAATTATTTAAAAAAAATAAAAGTAGAGAACAACAATCGTTCAGTTTGGTTTATAGATAATTTCCTGATTCCCATATTTTCTCAAACCCCTGAACTGATGGTTTGTTATTTTCTTTCTTTTTTCTGTCTTAATGTTGGCAGTGGGCTTTAGGCTGCCCTGCAAGGCATTAAACCTGGGTTTAACCGGAGACTAAGCCATTCTCAAGCACATATCAAGGAGCTCATTTTGAGCCTGGATCCAGATTTATTGTTGATTCTGTTCATGGTGGAGAATCCTGCTTCACAGTAGCAGGTTGAGCCAAACATCCTCTAAATGTACAGGGTCATCTTTGAGCACGCCATTTCACTTTTCTTTCACCAGTTCACCGCAGTTCTTCCAGCAGTCCACACTTTCTCTTTTTGCACACAGCACTTGATCAAACACTATGGTGTAATTTCCCTGCCAAGCCACTAGTAGGCAATGTGGTCTTTTCAACTCAAAGTGTGCAAGCGCTATTCCATGCCACAATTTATAGGCAATGAGACCAGAGCTCCTCTATTAGGATGCTGTGTCCAAACATCTGACGTGTAAAAGGCACTACACAGTGGTTACGACATTTTAAATTAGTGTCCGAACATCTAGTGGAGGAAAAGCAGGCTGTGTCCGAACCTCTGCACTAATCCTTATATCCCTCCATCACTATATAGTCAGGAGACTCTATAGTGGAGTTTATAGTGAACTGACGGTTATGACAGATGATCACTACTTTTCGCTTCCCGTTGGTCACAAAACTCCGCCTCCCTGCACGGTGCCTACGCCACCTTTATTTGCCGACACTGTCGCTACATGACAGCGGGCGGCTGTGACAACAAATCCCATGATGCTTTGCAAGGAGAGCACTCACCAAACATCCAGCATATATCTGCTTGTCTAGTGACCATGGATGATCACTACTTTCAAGGTGCATTGTGGGAAATTTTAAGTCCACTACCTTTTCATCCACCAGATGTTCAGAACCTCATTTAAAACTATATAGAGGCCCTATATAGTGGTTAGGGCGGACATGTGGACACAGCCCTGATGCACGAAATTTAAGCACAATGTTTAAGCATTTTTGACACTTAAAAGAAAAGTCCAGTCAGAATTGAAACTTCTGAAAGTTCTTTAAATCTGAAATGATTCCATCCTGTTCAATAAATGATCAGTGTTTTTAATTCAGAGTAATTTTCATGTGAATGTGCTTTACTGGAGGCATCCATGTTTGTCAAAGAACACTACTGCCACCTACTGGTTAGTGACGTCACGGTGCGGTATCGGCTGTTGATCAAGTCCCAGTGCTGTATCTGGTGTTTGTCACAACGCGCTATTATCCAAGTCATCTTGAAAACATTCTTCTTCCAAATGTTGGCTACATATTACGGGTTTTTTCTCTGGCCAGAAGTTCGATGGCAAATCCTCCCTCTTCAAGTTGGCGATCCAACGACCAACCCGTCCGTGGAGGATCAGGAATCAGAAAGGTGGAATAACTTTTTTTCCACTTTTACCCGATGTATTCCAACATCTAGCTGCCATGCACGTGGGCATTGTCAGTTTCACTATAGCTCTGGTGAATTTCAATGGTGAAGTCCTCTGGAAATCTTCAATAATTGTTGTTGATTGCAGATGTGTCTAGTAGTTCCCATTGATTTAGCTTGGAAAGCGGGGAGAATGGCGCTAGGCTTACCGCACCGTGACGTCACTGCTGGAAGATGGCAGGAGGGAGGGGCTACTATATTTGGGCAAAAATGGCCGCTCCCAGACTCAGTGATCGCAACGAAAATTATTGACTTTTTTACTGATTAATCGATTTACTGATTAAATTGCAGTGAACGTTTTAGTTGTAGGTATAAATAATGATCCATTGATTATTCCTTGCTGAGCGGACCTTTCCCTTAAAACACCTTTAGTGTGAACGCAGCATCAGACTTCAAGATTTCCAGGTTCGAATTTAATCTGTTGAATTTGTACAAACTGAATCTTGGAAACTTGTAGCTTAGTAAACTAGCCCCAGGCGCCAGCGGCCAAAATCATTTTCGCCTGCAGTGGTCTAGCCTCCATCAATGCCCCAGGCCCTAGAACTGGCGGGCCAATCAAAACGCAGAGATGTGTTTCGAATTTCTGGATTGGAAGTGGGCGGGGTTTTGAGCGCATGACAACAGATCTGTGCCACGCTGGAGAAAGCACAACAAGGAAGATGGCAACAACTATTGAACAGTTCTGGTTTGACTCAGTTTTGAAATTCATTTTTAAGAAAGAGGTATTCACTGTTTTACGGACAGGCTGTTTGTTTACACTCCCCCACCAGCTTTCTCATTGGTCAGAGCGTTGGCCAATAGGCACAGACCATGGTTTGAAAGACCATCAACAATCTTACGATGTCTCATTCATCGGGGCCAGACTAAATTACACATTTAATCTGGTTTATCAGGCTAGGAAACTTGTTCTGGATATAAACCTGAAATATGATGACCAATACTGAGCAAAAATCCTGAAAGCTAACAGCAGTGAATAAAGTAAAAAAAACCAAAGCAACTAAATTAATATAAAAACATTATCCTTCCTGTTATTCAAAGTAACAAAAAACACACAGACAATAAATGCAGAGTAATTGTTACTGGTTTAAAAGTCTGCTAATGAATATATAATCAAAATGAATGACATGAAACTAATTTATAATTTTCTAATAATTACATAAAACTTCAACCAAAAGCGAACATGTCAACTTTTATTTACTTCATCTGTTTAAAGCGACAACATGGTAAATATTGTCCTATTTTAGAACACTTAAAG